AGCCTTGTAAATAATTGGAGAACATCTCAGCTTTCCTTCTGTTTCTGTTCCTCCCCAACATCTGAGAACAGGTGGAGGCCGAAATAGTCAAAGTGCTGATGGAATAAAGAGAAAGTTGAGTTTTTGTCCAGATGACTCATTAAACTGTTTGCACTCTTTTGTAGTTCTCGTTTCTTAACTGTCTGTGTGCATCACATCCAGGTTACAAAAATAGAACCAGCTCCCCAATATTATATTTTACTGAGTCAAAGGTCTTTTATTTTATTTTAAATGTGCCACAACAAACTAGCAGGCAGACAAAACCTTCAGACGATGATGAGTGAAATATAAAAAGTGATGACAAACTGATGAAACATGAGTCTTAAGACACAAAGGCAACAAATGAAAAGTTACAGTAAAAATACAGACTTGAAGCTTCTTGGCGTATCCTTGCTGTGTTGTTTTTGTTACTATTCTATCCATGTACCGTCGACTGGACTGATGCTGCGACGCCAGCTAAAGCGGTTTTTCATTGCAGGAGTCATGTGATCCCAGGTGTGTGAAGGATTCACTGGGTCAAATGTCACTAAAATTAATGTTTGATTTTTTAAAAATATGTATATTTATGTGAAAGTGTACTGTTCATTACGGCATAGTTTCAGTTCAATGGACTTTCATGGACTCTGGACCACTGCAGCACCTTGATTCTCTCCTTTTTCAGCCATTCTGTTGGAGATTTGCTGCTGTGCTCATTGGCCTGTTGTATGATCCAAATTGGGTCTGTCCGACAGCTGGCCTCACATTTGACTCAGGAACGCTTTGTGGTCGACTAAGGTGTTATGGTCCTGTGGCTGCAGAACAAGCCCAAATCAGCCCTTCTGGACTATGCTGACAGTTAGTGTGGGGGTGCTGTGATCATGGACCAGCATCTCCATGTTGGTCTCATCTGTCCAAAGGACATTGTTCCAGAAGACTTGTGGTCTGTCCAGGTGGAGCTTTGCAAAGCTAAGACATGCTATCATTAAAAAAAAAAAAACCCTTCCACACCAGCCATACCTGGTAATATTTATTTAAAGCTAATTACTGTATTAACACAATTGATCTAAAATCAGAAAAATAGAAAAAAATTTTTTAACTGCAACAACCACAAACATGTTTAACGAATCATTTTCATAACTTGAAATGCAAATAGAAATTGTAAACTTTAAAAACATATGTTGTCCATTGTTTACTGGTCATTTTCT